ATCTGTCATTGAACCAATACCAGGCAGTTTTGACTACTGTGGCTGTATAGTAGGTTTTGAGATCCGGCAATGTGAGACCTCCTACTTTGTTTTTCATGAATTTAATTTTTTTTGTTCTACATTTTTCTCTCACACTATCTGGGATCCTCTATTGTCATCCTAGTCTGAGTAGGTGGTAGTGGTAGCTGAACACTATTTAGTTCTTCTGGTCTTAGGGTTGTATAAGCTATGGTTCATGTGGTCTATTAGTCCACTAGGAGCTCTGGTAGCATAGTGCCTAAGGCACTTGATTGCTAACCAGAAGGCTGGCAGTTCAAACCAACCAGTCACCCCTTGGAAGGAAGTTTGGGCAATCTACTTCCATACTGATACCACCTTGGAAACCCAAGGAGGGGTCACTATGAGTCGGGTCTGACTTGACGGCAAATAACAACAACAATAACATTAGAGCACTGGACTAATTGCTCCCTGAGTCTTTGGTTTTCTTCACTCTCTTTTGTTCTGAATAGGAAGAAACCAATAGTAGCAGTATCTTAGATGGTGCATGTGCTTTTTGACTGAATATATAAAATAAGATATTAAGTTCAAAGGAAAGTTCAAGAACAACAAAACCTTTGACAAGGCACCAGGGAGGAGAGGGACTAATTATCTTTTCTTTTAACAATAACATGATTTATGTCCAACCACAACATGACAAATATACAAATGTTCTTGCTATAAAGTGAAAACAATATAATCAAACTTGCTCCTGATGAAACACTTTGCTATTCAAATAAGGAGACAGTAACTAAATTTCTGACACACATAACTTTTAAAACAAACAAAATAATAATAATATTGGTAAACTTTTTCTTTTGCCACATGCCAAAAATAAATCAGTAAGTTATAAGAGGCTATAAAAAACTAGTATACTATCTTTAAAACATGTAAAATCCTTTTGTTGCTCACTGAAAAAGCATAAATGAAAAATATGAGTTTCTTTAAGATTGTAAGATACCTTTCAAGTCTTTCTTTAATTTTCTGAGATCTTTTTGAAAATCTTCAAACTTCATCTGTGAGGCTTGAAAAAGGTCCTGGGGTTCTGGCAGTGGAAAGACACATTGTTCTTTTCCAGCATCCTAATTAGCAAGAAGCACGTGATTATTGAACAAATCATCATCAATATAAGTAAAAAGAACACAACACCATCATTGACAAAAATAAAAACAACACCAAACAACACAACAAATTTAGAATATAAAGTGTGGCTATATGTAAAAATTCCTTTACCTCATCAAAATTTCGAAGATAATATGAAACGATATATGACAAAAGGCTCCTGCTATTGTCCTAGGCAGAAAAATCAAAGTAAGTAAAAACTATATTTAAAAAATTACAAAATATACAGTGTTAAATGAATAAATTCTTGGCAATTCACATATATGCATGAAAGATGGAATTCTGCATTTCCAATCACTTCACTGTATCTAAGTATTTTTACCATATAGATCTTGCCCATGTAAGCTTCAAGGGCAAGTTCAGTTATTTAAAGGTAGAGACTCAAGTACAAACACTCTTCTATTTTTACTCTCCTCAATTAGAAATTTAGTTTGCTAATTTTCATGTTTTATTATTAAAAAGTGCAACTACTATCTTAACAAAATAGTCACAGAACTTACATATAGCTAGGCTAACAGGTACCACCACAACAATAAATTTGATTGAGACTCATAGCATATATATTAGGGCAACTGAAAAGTTAAATATCACTTTAAACAATCAGGAGATTTTAGAAGTTCATATGAATTTATGAATTTAAAAATTCATATTACAAATTGATATGTCAGCAATTGAGATTCAGTATTTAATACACACACAACTATAAGTAACACACTGTATGTAGTTCTATAGAAAAAAATGTAAAATTGTTTCACATTTAATAGTTTTCCTTCCCAAAGTAGCTTTTTATTTTCTAGGGCATACAGAGGTATTCATTTTTAATTTTAGATTATTTTTAGCATTGCTCAAAATAAATACTAGATAATCTGAATGTGGAAGATCAAATATATATTTACTTTAAAAATAAATCCTAGATACCAACGAACTTCCATGGAATGTTCAATCTACAATATTCCCCCTATATATTAAAAAAAAGCAATATAATCAAGTTCAATATGACATAGTAATATCTCTATTACATAAAATTTGCTTTTCTAGAAATTATTTAATCAACCAGATTTTCTTTCCTCTTTTCTTCTGCTGCCTGAAATTTATCAAACATGTAATCAAGATTATTGATTATTAGTTGTGAAGGGAATGCAAGAGTTGAAACCAACAAATTGGAAAATATAGCATGTGGTAGAAAATTATCTGGAGATCACATGACTGAATTCTTTAAGAGCAATGACTTATTTATTAGAAATATCTTTTTTCAACAATACAAACAGTGACTATACACATGAAGCTTGCAGGATGAAATACACAGAAATAAAGTCAACATCTGTGGAATAAGAAGATGGAGAAGCTCAATATTATCAGTCAGAACAAGGCCAGGGACTGACTGTGGAACAGACTATCAATTGCTCATACAAGTGCAAGGTAAAGCTAACGGAAATCAAAACAAGTCCACAAAAGCCAAAGTATGATCTTGAGTAAATACCATCTGAACTTAGAGCCCATCTTAAGAATGGATTTGATGCAATGAATACTAATGACCGAACAGCAAACAAGCTGTGGCATGACATCAAGAACATCATAAAGGAAGGAAAATGTCATTAAAAAGACAGAAAAAAGAAAAAAAAAGACCAAGATGGATGTTGAAGTGACTCTGAAACTTCCTCTTGAATATGTTGTTATTGCTACGTGCCCTCGAGTCAGACCCAACTCATAGCGACCCCTCCTTGGGTTTCCAAGGCAATATCACTATGGATGTAGATTGCCCAACTTTCCTTCCGAGGAGTGGTTGGTGAGTTTGAACCATCAGCCCCCTCTGGTTAGCAGTCAAATGCCTCACTAAAGTGAAAGTAAGAAATTTTCAAGTAAAAGAGCTGAACAGATCTCAAAGGGAGACTCTTGAAGAATATAACGAAATATGCAAAGACCTAGAGTTAGAAAATCAAAAGAGAAGATCATACTTAACATTTCTCAAGCTGAAAGAATTGAAGAAAAATGTCAAGGCTTAAGATGCAATACTGAAGAATTCAACAGGCAAAATACTGAATGACATAGTAAGCATAAAAGATGGAAGGAATACAAAGAATTACTAACAAAAAGAACTGGTTGACATTCAATTAATTCAAGAAGTAGTATATGATTAAGAAGTTAGAGTACTGAAGAAGTCCAAACTGCACTGAGGCACTGGCGAAAAACAAGATGCCAGGATTTGATGGAATACTAATTAAGATGTTTCAACAAACTGATAAAAAGCTGGAACACTCACTCATTTATACCAAGAAATTTGGAGGACAGCTATCTGGCCAACTGACTAGAAGAGATCCATAGACGTACCTATTTCAAAGAAAGGTGATCCAGTAGAATTTGGAAATTATTTAATAATATCAGTAATATAATATGTGAGTAAAATTATGCTGAAATAATTCAAAAATGGTTGCAGCAATACATCAATGGAAAACTGCCAGAAATTCAAACCAGATTCAGAAGAGGACATGGAGCGAGGTCTGATGACACCTGATGATGTCAGATGGTTATTGGCTGTAAGCAGACAGCACTGGAAAGATGGTTATCTGTGTTTTATTAACCATGCAATGGCATACATCTGTGTGAATCATAACAAATAATGGATAACACTGCAAAGAATGGGAATTCCAGAAGACTTAATTGTGCTCATGAGGAACCTGTACATAGACCAAGAGGTAGTTGTTCAAACAGAAGGGGATACTGCATGGTTTAAAATCAGGAAAGTTGTGCGCCAGAGTTGTATCCTTTCAACATATTTATTTTATCTGTATGCTCAGCAAATAATATGAGAAGCTAGGCTACATGAAGGAGAACACTGCATCAGGGTTGGAGGAAGATTCATTAACAACCTGTGACATGCAGATAACATATGAGGAGGACTTGAAGCACTTACTGATGAAGATCAAAAACTATGCCATCGATATGGATTACATCTCAACATAAAGAAAACAAAAATCGTCACAACTGGGCCAATAAACAACATCATAATAAACAGAGAAAATTCTTAACAGTTTCAAGGATTTTAATATCCTTGGATTTACAATCACTGCCCACGGAAGCAGCAGTCAAGAAATCAAATGACGTATTGCATCGGGCAAATCTGCTGCAAAAGATCTCTATACAGTGTTAAAAAGCAAAGATATCACCTTGAGGAATAAGACATGCCTGACCCAAGTCATAGTATTTTCAATTGCTTCATATGCATGTGAAAGCTGGACAATGAATAAGGAAAACTGAAGAAAAATAGACACCTGTGAATTACGGTGGTTGGAGAAGAATATTGAATATATCATGTAATACCAGAAGAATAAACAAATTTGTCTTGGAAGAAACAAACGCAGAATGGTCCTTAGAAGTTAAGATGGTAAGACTTTGTCTCATGTATTTGGACATATTATGAAGAAAGACCAATTCTTGAAAAAGGATGACATACTTGGTAAAGAGAGTCAAGAAAAAAGGGAAGACCTTTAACAAAATGGACTGACATAGGTGCTGCAACAATGAGCTTATATTTAGCAACAATTGTGAAGATGGTGCAGGACCAGGCAGGGTGTCGCTCTGTTGTACAGAGGGTGCCTAGGAGTTGGAACCAAGTCTATGGCATCTAGTAATAATGAAATGAAATAGTAAGACAGTATGTTTCTTTCTCTTTCTTTTTTTTTTTTAAATTTTTATTGTGTTTTGGGTGAAAGTTTACAGAGCAAATTCATTTTCCATGCAGCAGTTCACATACACTTTGTGTCATGACATTGACTGCAATTTCCCACAATGCAACAGCTCTCTTCCCACTTCCTCCCCATAGTTACCTCTTCCATGTGTCCTTCCCTCCCATGAAACTCCTGCCCCACAAGCTGTCTCTCTGCACATACAAAACTCTTCTATTTTATGATGATAGATCTTTCCAAGGAGTGTATCTACCTAATGTAAATGCTCACCTCATATGCCTGTCTTTTGTTTGGCTGGAAGCCACAGGAGTGGGTTCAATGCCAGACCTGAAGGGCAGCTAGGGTCCATAGTCTCAGGTGTTCTACCAGACTCTATCACACTAGCAAAACTGGTCTTTTTCTTTTTTAATGATTTTGAGTTTTGTTCCACATTGTTCTCCTACTCCATCTAGGATCTCCTACATAGATCCCCCTCCAAGTGGTGACCAGGGACCACGTAGTTCTTTTGGTCTCATGGTGATATATGCTGAGGATTGCATGGCCCACCAGCCCCTTGGATTAATTGTTTCCATATATCTTTGGTTTTCTTCCTTCTTCTCCTAGTCCACTCTGGACTAGGAGATACACATCATTGCATCTAGATGGCTGCTTGCAAGGTTTTAAGATCTCAGTTGCTACTCACCAAAGTTGGATGCAGAACAAAGTTTTTGTGTAGTTTGTTATGCCAATTGAGCTTGATAACCCCTGCAACCATTATCCCAAGCCCACAGGTCCAACTACTCGCTCTGTCCTGGTAGCTGGAAGTGGCCAAGAAGTCACTACAACTTTGTCCCTTGTCATTTCTACTATATACCTGGACATTCTTACAGAACATACAAATACACTTGTAGAAACATTGTCTGCCAACCCTATACATGGTCATGGCCACACTCCCCCATGCACAGACATATGTACTAATTTAGTCTGTCATCCCATCTAGTCACCCATATATCAATGTTTGCCTTCACTGACAACAGTAACGTATGTGTAAAAGGGTTCATCTTTGTTGTCTGTATCTCCCATGTACCTCTCTATGTCTTCGTCTTTGTCAATGCCACTGTATTGATCACTCACATTTGGTACGCTGCCCTTCCTTTCATCCAAATAAATACTTGTCTCTAACTATCTAACAGTGTTCCCTACCCTCTCCTCCTGCCCCTGGTAACCAACAAAGACAATTTCCGTCCATATACAAACCTTTCTTTGAATTTTTACAATAACAGATTAATATAATATTTGTCCTTCTGTGATTGACTTATTTCCCTGACATAATGTCCTCCAAATCCATCCATGTTATGTGGTATTTTGCCGATTCTACATTATCCCTTAGGGTTGCGTACTATTCCATTGTGTGTAGGTACTATAGTTTAGTTATCCATTCTGCTGATGGGCACCTAGGTTGTTTACATTTTTTTTTTGCTGTTATAAACAGCACTGCGATGAACATGA